TACGGAAGGTGACTCCGGTCACAACCTTACGTAAGTTCTCTTTGGTAAAGTTTACATATTATACTGTTATTACGGCGAATTAGAATTACAATCAATTGTGTATTGTATTATAGTACGCCGCACATCTTTGAATATTTCGCGGATCGCCAGCTAACTCCGATCGAAAGAACCAACGACAGTTGCAAACCTTATCCCTTTTTTTTTGTGTAAAACCTGAAAATTTGTTAAAGGAATTAGGTTCCTTATATGTAGAAACACCCGCCAAATACAGCGGTTCTAGTAAATCGTCTCACTCTTCATTTTCCCCCACCTTACGGCATACGTTCCCAGACCATTCGGCCAGGTAGAGACACGCACACGTGGATCTATTGAAGCGAGTTATCGAACGCGCGCTCCGCGTCTCGTGAATTCGAATACCGGGACGTGACAATCGCATAATAAATCATTTTGAATATTATCAAATCGTTCAATCTTCTCGTAAATCAAATTGAGTTCGAAGAAGTCTTCTCTGTACTCTACTAATCTTATATGTACTCTACTACTCTATTAATCTATTTCCCTGATTTAAATGCGCTCCATCAGCACCAATTATTTCTTGTGCTTTGATACGGTTACAGGCTCTGACATTTGCAAGTTCAGCTCTTTGGACAGCTTCAGCTTCACCCTCTTAATCTATATCGAATTTTTTGTGCATAAGATTAAAACGAAATCGGATATTGTGCAATACAGCACAAGATGTTATTATATTTGATGCTGTAACTGGTGCATAATGCAATACACGATGACTGAGGAGACATCTCCATACGTTTTTTAGAAGTCCAAACGTTCTTTCGACATAATTTCTAGTTGATGAATGACATTCTGTGTATCGAGCTTCTGCGCTTCCTTCTGCTGCACCTATAATCGGTGTCATTAACCAAGGTTCCAAGCTGTAGCCTGAATCGCCTATCAATGAAACATATTTTATTATTATTAAATAAATATAAAATAGCAATCATGTGCGCACATACTAACCCAAAAGCCATGTTGATTGATCTCCAGATTCATATAACCGCATCATTTCATTCCTTACGGCAGAATTTTTCCAAATAAAGTTATCATGTACACTTCCTGGAAATCTGGCGTTTATACTCAGAATTTCTAAATCATGCGACGATACCTTATCAATAGTATTAATGAGTTAAATGATTACATTTTATATAATATAATACATATCAGTGCATTATGTTTATTCAAAATATGATTATTTTTAGTGAAACTTACTGCCTGTACGTTTATAGAATGGAAACCTTTATGGTTAAGATATGCTTCCTCATGAATTTTAGGTCTCACAATTGTTACGTGAGTACAATCGAGGCAACCAATTACTCCTTTAAAATTTCTTTCTTCTTGAAATCTGTAATCATATTTTAATGGAAACAAAAAATTATTATACCATAAGTAAAGTGAAAATAGACAAGCATATTATTTAAAATGAGAAATTATTTACAATCAATATATGTATAACCGTTTATAACAATTATAACTATTAAGATCATTCATGCATAATTATTTAAATTATATTGTTATTAAATTATGATGTAATACACATATTTTTAGTATATGTATACATATATACATACACAGTTTTAATGTGTTTTTTTTATCATAATTATAGAAATAATATTACCTTTCTTTCAAAATTGTTCGTTCTTCTTCTGTCCTTGGAAATCTTATCCATTCATGAGCAAGCACTTCAATAATAGCTGATGCTACTATCCTTACCGCTCTACTCACAGCTAGTTGTGATAATGATACTAAATAATCATTGCCGATACCTTTCTGATAGGAGCCAATAGCAAAGAATCATAACGCATATAAAACCTATTTCAAACATTAAAGTCATTGTTTATAACACATAGTTACTACTTTCAGTAATGTATTTAAATAAAAAATATATATATTTAATGTTTATAATTGAATACATAATTACTTGAGTTTGTACAGGGTGCTTCCGATACATACACATCATAAGTTGAGTTGCCTTTCGGCAGGGGCATGCTCATCCGCAGGGATCTGCTTATCGGCGTGGTAATACAGAATAAGATTAGATCGCAAAAGACAAGAGAAATTGAACTTTACATTCTGATATAGTGTAAAATTCAATAATATATAATATTTTATTATATAATATTTGAATTTTATTTGTATTAAACTGAATGTTTAGACTGAATGTATAGACTGAATTATACTGAATGTATAGACATAAAATTTAATTTTAACATTGTATGTAAAGAGACACTTT